CTAGAACTTTGTCTCCAATTTCAAATTGTTGTACTTTTCTCAGTTTTCTATCATGTCATTCTTTTGATTTTTCTTGTAAAAGGTTGATATTCTTCTTGGTGTCAATAACTTGTTCAGGTAAATAATTAATTAGAGTAAATATTCTTTTTAATAATTGTTCTTCTATTTTGACTTCTTTTTCGAGTGTTATTTCAAATTTTAATTCTATTGATAGTCGTGTTTCTCTTTCATATGTTAGAAAGAAAGGTTCATGTCATGTAGTATTATTTTGTAAAGTTCTATAAGCGAATAATGTGACTGAGATATGGTTATCTCATTCTTTATCTAGAGCAATAATAAGTTTTTGTAGTGTCATTAATAATGTTTTATTAAATCATTTTATAATTCCATTCGTTTGTGAATGCCATAGTGATGAGTATTTGTATTATATTTCAAATTTACTAGTAAGTTCTTCTATTATTTGTGCTGTAAATTCTGTTCCTTGATCTAATTGTAATATTTTTGGGCATCCATGCTGACAAATAATTTCTTCAAATATAAACTTAGCGACAGTTACAGTTTCTTTGTTAGGTATCACTTTTGCTTTAGATCACTTTGTTAGATAATTTATTGCAGTTATAATATATCAATTCTTCTGTTGAGTTAATTTACAAGGTCCAATAAGATTTATTACGATATGATCAAAAGATTGTCCAACTTTGATTGGATGTAAAGATTTTTTGAATTGTCAATTTCTAATAAATTAACAGGTAGGACAAGATTTTACAAAATCTTTTATATCAGTTCCCATTTTATTTCACCAATATCATATAGCAATTCATTGATAAATTTCATTATATTCAAAGTGTTCAGATAGAAAGTCTTCATATATTCCTTTCTAGTGGTATAAATCATTTGATCTGTAATTGGTCTGATCCGGATATAATCGATGATTACGATTAATCAATTAGGAAGTAAATTGAATGATTAGTCAACTGATTTGGATATAATCGATGATTACGATTAATCAACTGATCCGAATATAATCGATGATTACAATTAATCGATTAGGAACAATAATCAGATCATTCAATTATATAATACATAATATTGATATCGATATGTACACAATAAATCAACATTTATCACTACATATATCGATCGATATATCATTATTACTGTATTTTGATCACTGTTGGACATTGTTTCAATCTAATGCTAATTTAATTTTTTTAACATTAACGTTAATTTTGTGCCTAATGCGCAATGATTTCAGATTTCTTTTGCTGCTTTTATGAGTGAACGATGACTTCCTAGTGTTATCATCATTTCTTTTTATTATTTTGGGACCGTTTATGTTAAAATTTCACGTTCTAGTTTTTCTATTCAGTGAACACAACTTGATTTTGTCACAGTACAGTAAGTTACATTTTTGTTTGTGCATTCTATAGCTATTATTTTTTTAATTTGCTGTGTTTGACTGATTATCAGTCATAATTTCTAGCTGCTTTATGGTAATATCATTATGTACTTGTTGCGAATCTCTCCCATTCACGTTCATTTCTATGTTGCTGTCTGAGATTGTTAGTTTTATAGGTATCACTGTTAACGTTTCTTTATAATGTAGGGTTTTTTGGATGTTGGTGCTGTTTCTAGTTTGTTGTTAGTAGTTTAGTGATATAATAGTCATACGGATCACCCTCAGGAAGCAATCAGACTTTGTAAAAGTAACGGGTAATGTATATTTTTAATGCATGCTTTCCATTTGTGAGGTGTGAGTGGATTGGTTTGGATATTTCACTAAGCTGAAATGAGTCTGATGAACCCCTGATGGAAAAAAGAGCTTCCTTATGAATTAATATTGTGGTCAACTGGGATCGGTGATTATCATATTTTCTTTATGCTCTTAATTTTACTCAATTATAATATTAATTTATTTATAATAAATTTAGTAATGAATTTGTTAACAAGAACTATATCAGAAAAACTTGACAAACAAAAAAATACGCGTGCATTTATTACTGATAATTGATTGCATTTAAAAGGTATTCCAGACTCTACAATCTATACACTTGGTGATTGTGCAACTATTGAGAATGGAAAGTCATGACCAGCTTCATGCTCTGACTAATGTTGTTTCTTGACAAGTTTAAGCGGCATGAGAATGCTTCTGCACAATTTAATTTACACTAACTGAACGAGTATAGAAGGGAATGTTAATATTATGTGTTGTGTTTAATGAGTGTCACTAAGCACTTTATATCAAGCAGATATTTTGCTGGTAAAAGTGTACACGTTAGCATAGGACTGATTATCAGAATATAATTGTGAACTTAAAGAGTGCGAGTATTTATAATCAACTATCAGGGTAAGTTTTGTTGTTTACCTATCTCTTTTCATATCTTTTCCATTTTCATATCCTATCCCTTCAAATTTTCAATTACGGAGTTGCATTTCAAGTAAAAATGATTAAATTTTGACAAGACATGTTGATTGATAGAATATAGTTTAAGAAGAAAAGCAGAATGTATGTAATATTTTTTTTAGAAACGAGATACATATTGATATATATAACTGCACTATAACCATTTTTAACTAATAATAAGGTTGAACTTTTATTCTATCATGATGCATCATAATGAACAATACTTTTGACGATACTCAGTGGGACCAAAAAAGTCACGTAAGTAGCAACAGTAATACGGTTGCTACTATTACTTATACTACCATCACTACTGATGTTATCACTACTACTGATACTTATAAGAGCTTTCGAAGCTCAAGAAAATGTCACTGTCCCAGTGGTTCTGAAAAAAAAAGTTTTATTTGGAAATATTTTATTGAAAAAAATAATCCTAGTGAACCTAGTAAAATCATGGTTTGTTCCCTTAATCTTGCAAATGATAAACCATGTCAAAAAACATACATCACTTTCAGCAATACTAGCAATGCTATCCAATATTTTGCCAGTATTCATACTATTGTTGAACAAGGAAAACTTCATATCAAGGTAAAGTTTTTTTTATTAATTTCAAGTTTAATATAAAAAAATCTATTAATACATTGCTTTTAATAGTTTATAAAAAGTGGAAATATTAAAGATATGTTAGAAATGCAAAATTAACAATGTTGGACAGAAACTTGACAACTAGTGACAAATCGCAAACTTACAAAATGAATTCTTCATTCCACCAAACCTATTAATACCATTGACGATATTACTTTTGAAGATTTTTTTAATTACTTAAATCTGAACTACAAATTACCAAACAAAAAAAATCTCAAACTTTTAATTCATCAAGCATATGATTGGACTGAAGGATCGATGAAAGAACTTCTTTTATCTTCCGCTAAGTACATTTCACTCACTACTGATTTATGGACATCTCACGCCAAACAAGGATATATTGGTATTACTGCATCATTTATGGATTCTGATTTTAAAATTTATGATATTTTGCTTGAGTTGGAATATTTACCATACCCACATATTGCTAAACATATTCGAGATAAGATTCAATTAATTATTGAAAAATGGAGCTTGCAGGAAAAAGTGATTGCTATTATAACTGATAATGAATCAAATATGATTAAAGCTATATCATATTTAAATAATATTACACGAATATCATGTATAACACATACACTTCAGCTCGTAATTGGAAAAGAATTAGCACCTGTCTTGGTTTTTATTTCTCGCGCCAAATACTTAAACTGGTTTTTTACATATCCCAAACAAATAGAAAGATTTCAAACAACTCAAACTTCCTTAAACTATCCAAAAATTTTAGGTGTAGTTTGTGATGTAAGCACTCATTGGAATTTATCATATTTAATATGGGATTGATTACTTTATTTAAAAGATGCAATTGATCAATTGGCAATTGATTTATCACGAGATCAGGATAGTACAATAAAAAAAGATGGATGTCATCTTAAAAAAATTAATCTTACGGATGATGAATGGATCTTTATGGAACATTTGGTTAATTTACTTGGATTATTTGAAGAAGTCACCACTTTTTTAAGTGGTAATATCTATATGACACTTAGTCTAATGCATCCTATCATTTCTGAATTACAAAAAGTATTTGAAGATGAAACTTTATTAGTATTATCA